GGTCCTGGGTGTAGCTGATGCCGTTGAACGCACGAGCGCGCCAGGGCGGCGCTCAATTATTCGGTCGCCGTGTTTGTGATTAGCGACGGCACTTTGAAGGCAGTGGACATGGTGTTGCGCCAGAAAGTTGCGCGCCTGGGTGGCGCGGTCGCATCCGCTCTCGACGAATGCAGCGACGCGCATCTGCTTACAATGAAACGCGTTCCTTCCACAGGCAGCTCGCGCGGCGCTTGGAAGGCATGCGGTGGTTGCCATTGGCTGCGCTAGGTGTAAAAATTGGCTCCTATCTGTTACGGCCTGAATCGTTTTTGGTCTGGCCGGGCAGGAGGTGGCGCGGGGCGCACGGCGTTTGGGTTTGCTCTGAGTCGAGCTCTCGAACCGAGACTGGAGAGAGAGAGAGAGAGAGACAGAGAGAGAGAGAGAGAGAAAGAGATACTAGAGAGAGAGAGAGAGAGAAAGAGAGAGAGAGAGAGAGAGAAAGAGAAAACAAATCACACAATCCACAACATAGAAATGAAGACGAGAGAGAGAGAGAGCGATACATATAGACAATACACATATATGTGTGTAAAGAGATAAACACTCACATATATATATATATAGCAACTATATATCTAGAGAAAGAGAAATAAAACACACCATACATATATAGGGACATTTTATGTATGTATACATGTATAGATAGAGATAGTGTAGAGAGAAAGAGAGAGAGAGAGAGAGAGAGAGAGAGAGAGAGAGAGAAAGAGAGAGAGAATGTAGAAAGAGAGAGAAAGAGAGAAAGAGAGAGCGAGAGAGAGAGAGAGAGAGAGAAACGGAGACGACAAGTAAACGGGAACCCCGCCGACGGCCGGCCACTGCGGTAGCCGAGGCGCCATCGCGCACTTGGCGTTGGCGCGCGCCTTTTGGGGCAGCCGTCCCTGGGGGCAGCGACTGTAGCGGGAGACAGGGTGCTGAACAAACGATGCGCCGAGGCTCTCTACGCCCCGCGTGGGTGGCCCAGTTCGGCGAAGCCCTGCTCCGCGGCTGGGGGCAATGGCTTGACCGCTGAGCGGCTTGCGAACGACGGGGTGTCCCCCGCCGCCGCGGCCGGGCCCCGGCGACGCGCGGCCGCGCGGGCAATCTCGCGTCAACGAGAAGTGAAACAGAAGGCCGTGGACAAGGGCCGTGCCTGGCGCGCAATTGCGCGAGCGTGTCTTGCAGACAAGCGGGTGGGGGCGGCGAGTGGCGCTGGGCGATTCGGGCGCGCCGTCAGACGGCAACGCGGGCGATGCGCGCGCGAGCGGCGTCCCCGCGCAGGGGGGCGCGCGCGCCCCTCGCGCGGCAAGGGCGACGGGCCACAGGAGCAAGCGGCCGCGCCAGGGGCGCGACTGCCCCCCCCTCCCCCTCCCCCGCAAATCGCCGCCCGCTGTGCCCAGGGGCGCAGCGGTCAGGCGGGCTGCGGGGGCGGGGGGGGCGCCGAGGCCTGGCCGCCCGAGCCGCGTTGGGGGGGACCACCCCCAGGGGCGCTAGGCGCCAGCGGTTAGCGTTGCGCGGTGGTGCAGTTATTTCAGCGAGCGCAAGAAGTGCGCCTGCGAGCGGCGCGCCCGCTGTGAAGTTGCAGCCGCGCAGCGGCTGCAACGGCGGAGAGTGCGAATGGCGGCGGCGCCGCTGCGGCAGCGGGCGCGGCTTGCGCAGGGGGGGGGCAGCGCCCTGGTGAGGCGAGGAAGCGGCGCGCCCGATGCAGCGGGGCCGTCGGAGATGAGGCAGAAGCTGATGCGCCTGCGAGCGGCGCCCCTGCCGCGACGCGGCCTCAACGGCAGGGGTTGCCAGGCGGCGGCCCCGCGCCGGCTGCGGGCAGGGCTCGCGCGGTGGGAATGGGGGGGGGCGCCCTGGTGGGGCCAGCGAGCCCGCGCTGCAACGGCGTAGCTGGATTGCGCCGTTCAGCGGGGGCCGCCAGAAAGGGCTGATGGGGGGTGACAGCGCCGACGGCGCGTCCTTGGCGAGCAGCGTGGCCAGCCGAGTGCATTCGTGGAAGGTTGCAGCGGGGGGCGGCAGCGGCCGCCGCGGCAAGAGACGCGGGCGCCAGACACAATAGAAGAAAGTGCGGCCGCGACCCAATTGTTGACTTGAATATGAAGGCCAAGACCGGGACAGTGAGGCGGGCAGGTCTGCTCCTCCAAATTGGCGCGTTCTTGCTGGTGCCGGAAGGCGGACTGGGCGAATGTGCCCGCGCTGCTTGCCGCGCGGGAGGCCGAGGGCCTCGTCCAGACATGGGGCGAAGGCGATCGACCTGTGGGCGAGAATCTGTCGGAGACCGGAAGCGCGCAGACCCCCTGAGCGAAGCTCGGTGCACCTGCGGGCGAACGGCGGGTCGGCGCGCGGGGCCCAGAGGGGGGGCGCGAAAACCGACCCTCGCCCCGTGGGTCCGTCCTGGGCTGGGCGGGGCCGCTGGGGCCTGGGGGGCCCGGGGGCGGGGGGGTCGACGGCTCTGCGGGGCGGGGCCCGCCGTGGCGGAGGCGTGAAGGGCCGCCGCGAGGCCGCGCGCCCGCCCGTCGTCGTCGTCGTCGTCGTCGTCGTCGCCGTCGCCGTCGCCGTCGCCGTCGCCGTCGCCGTCGCCGTCGCCGTCGTCGTCGTCGTCGTCGTCGTCGTCGTCGTCGTCGTCGTCGTCGTCGTCGTCGGCGCCCTCCAGCTCGAGCCCCTCCTCTGCCGCAGCCCGGAATCGGAGGGCGGCCGGGAGGGGGTGGGGAAGGCGGCGAGGGGAGGGCGCTGGGGCGCGGTGCCTGCGCTGCGCTCGGCGGCGCAGCCACCAGGGGGCCTGGCCAGGCGGGCCTGCGAGCGCCGCCCCCCGGCCTCGTCCTGGACTGGGTCCGCCGAAGGCACGCGGGGCAACTGGCGCACGCGTGCGCGACGGCGGAGGCCGTCGGTGAACATTGGTGACGAGCGATGTGAGACATTGGTGACGGGCGAGGCGAACGTGATTGACAAGGGAACCCGCTCTCGTGTTAACATTTTCGTTCTGCGCGCGCTGTTCAACTCGTCGCGCGGTTGGTGTTCGGGGCGCCAGCAACGTGGCCGCGGGGCGCAAAGTTGTCGTGACGGTCGTGATTTTCGCGCCCGTCTCCTCCCTCCTCATCTCGCCTTCTCTGCCGCGCCGCGTGCGTTGGCGGCAGGGGGGGGAGGGGGGGGGCCCTGGGCGGGGACCTCGGGGGGGTGCGCGCGCCGAAGGGCGAAATCTCGGGGCCTAACACTGGGGCGGAGACGAACGGAATGCTGGGGGGCAGGTGGGCGGCGCGCCCGTTGGTTAGCGCGGCGGTCCACCGTTGGTTGGCGTCGCCTGAACGGCCTCGGATGATGCCGCGGAGACCGTTCACTGGGTTGCGCCCATGGATCGAGGGGGTCGGGTCGGCAGGGGCCGCAGGGACAGAATCGCCCCGGGGGCCGGCCCCCTTGGGCGGTGCGCGGCGCGTCTTGGCGCGCACGCCCCGCGTCCGCGGCGTGGGGCGGGGCCCGTGTGGCCGGGCGGCGGTTTGCGGCGCGGACGTGGGCGACGACGGCGGGGTCGTGGCCGCGGTGGCGCACGCAGTGGGCGCGTGGATCGCGATCGGTGGAGCGTCGGTGGCGGTGCGCACTGGCGCCGAGCCGTGGCCTGTGAGCGCTCGGCGGGTGAGCAACGTGCGGGCCGTGGCCTGCGAGCGCACGGCCCGTTGCAGGTTGCGGAGCCTGGAAGCCGCTGCTGGGGGGGGGGCCTGGGGGGCGGCAGACGCCCTCGGCGATGCCGAAGAACGCCCGGCGCAGCACCTGCTGGCGGCGGCGGCCTTTTTAGGGTGGGGCAGACCCGCCGCGTTGAGGGGGCCGTCGCGGAAGACAGGACGGTCAGGGCCCAGCCGGCCGCTGTCGCGGCGCGGCGGCCTAGTGCGTGAGCGAGGGCGCGTGCCAGGGCGAATGCGGTGAAGACAACGCCCATACCGTAGGCGCAGGTCGCGTCGAAAGCGCTGTGGCGGAGCAGCGTGACGCAGAAGATCAGGTACGACAGGTTGTTGCTGTTGACCTTCGGGGTTCGGCTGGCCGCCGTGGCGGCGCGGCGGCCCGGGGGATGAGCAAGGGCGCATGGCGCGTGCAGCTCACCATGGGAACGCTAGGAACGTCGTCCCGGATATTTTGAAGAGCGCCCCATGGAGCGGGAGGGGCGTGAAATGGCTCAAAGAGAACATGCTCACCAAACATGGGGCCGCCAAAAACGGAATCATCATGATGATCAATGTGAATATGTGGCTCAAGACGTGGCTGTCGTGGAGGTGACCGTACCGCATGGCAGCAGGCTGCTTCCCTCCGGGACTTTGCCCGTCTCGCAACCGAAGAGGTGGGCCGTGACGAAGTCACCACGCGCAGTGCGAGGACGGGGGCGGCGGCATAGGCCATTGCGGCGGAGGGGGTGGGGGGGGGGATGTTGACACGAATCAGTCCCGGGGTGAAGGCCCCGGTTAGGGTCTCACCGGGGCTGGAAGGCGCGGAAGGTTTCGAGTCCAGACCACGCGCTGTTCCCGCTGGAACTCGGGCCGGGACTGGAGAGACAGAGAGAGAGAGAGAGAAACAAAGTGCGGAGGACGGAAAGATGGGGGATCAACGAAGAAGAACCGCTGAGGGGGGAACATAACACCTGCGCATCAAACCGCGCGCCTTAGGACCTCTCTGGGCGCCACGCGGCTTCCGGGCCCGAGAGGTCAGATGAGCAGCAAGAGGGGGGAGAGGCGGCGGCGAGATTGGAGGAAGGAAGAGAAAACGGCACAAACAACAACTTTGGGAGGCGCGCCCGGATTTTTTGGATTGACGCTGCACAGCGCTCCATTGCGTGCGGAGCGCGCCAACGGCGGCGCCCAAGGCGCCGCCAAGGGGGTCCAGCGACGATCCAAAAGATCTGCGCGGAATTCCGGATGTTTATGTTCACGCCGTTTCCCTTCTCCGAGAGATTCCGAGCAAAAGCCTCCAGGGCAATCTGGCCAGCGGAGCCGCGGGCGCGACCCTCAGGGGTCCACGATGCGAAGCACGCGGCCGGAGACGGCTCGGCAGATGGGGCACCGTCGGTCCTGTGGGGGAGGTCTACGACAATTACTCCTCCTCCTCCTCCTCCTCCTCCATATCTTGATCCGCCTCCTCTTCCTCTTCCTCTTCCTCCTCCTCCTCCTCCTCCTCCTCCTCTCAAGCCACTTGGGTTCGAGCAACCCTCGCCCCCGCGCGAGGCACAGCACGGGTCCGTCTCTCGTACCTGCTCGTAGGTGCTTGGGGCACACTCTCAGAGGTCACGTTGTGCAGCTGATTGAGAGTGACAAAAGCGAGAGAGAATGACGTACCTCACTGATTCTCAAAAGAAGGGATGGTCCAAATGTTTTTCTTGCAAGCGTGTGGAGTGGAACACAGTTCTTGATGCAAAAGGATTTCACTGCCCAGGATGTTACAAAAAAGTGCGCTTGTACAAGAGCAAAGATGATGGAGAAAACGGCAATGATAATCAGGGCGACAACCGCAATGCGAAGGTGAACGATCGGGACGCGCTGAAGCAGATCCACGACAACACCACCGACCACAACCTGAGGCTGGCGCTAAAGGTTCAGCTGCAGGTGCTCGACGAGGCCAAGGAAAAAGAATCTAAGAACGAAGAGACATCGTCAGTATCTGCGGCGGAGGCGGTACGCAAAGCGGTTGGAGCTTGGAAAGATGCAGATTATCGGCATGGCCAGTGTGTGACGAACGTGCTGAAACTACAAAGGTCGTTGGAAGTAGCCCAGCAAAAAGAACACGAAGCAGCAGAGTTGGTAGCAAAAACGGCCATGGCAAAACAGCAGGCAACGGAGCTTCTCGCAAAGTTGGAAGGTGTTACCCCGACGAAGCCAGAGGCCAAGCCAGATGAAAAGAAAAATGACATGAGCCCGAATATGACAATTACTTGGGATGAGGGTCTATTTGCAGATATGGAGTCTGGTGAATATGAAGCTGAGGAAAAGGAGAAAATGCAACAATTGTTGGCTGACTTGGAAGCAACTAAACGGCATCTCGCAGAAAGAATTCTGAAGTGGAGCAATGGTTGACGGCAGCAGCTGAAGTACGAAAGGCACTTGTCTCTCGATTAGCTAAGAAGAGGAAAACTGAGCAGGGTGCGACAGCAGGCGACGTGGCAGAAGACGCCCCCATGAGCCAGCCCGCCGCTCCAGGAGCGGCCGAGGCGGCGACGACGGGGAGCGCAGCCAGCTCGCCAGATGGTCAGCCCGACGATAAAAAAAAAGAACAGATTCGCCAAACAGCCGAGCAGATCTCCAAGGCCAAGTTCGAGGCTATCAAGGCAGCGTACCAGGCCAAGGGGAAGGGCGGCAAGAACACAGAGGCGATGGGCAAAGGCAAGGGCCCTGGAGAGGGCTCGTGACTAGGTTCCGACGTGAAAGGAGCCTCTGAGATGGGCAACTCGGAGGCAGGAGTTAGTACAAGTACTAACAATGGGGTGAGCAAATTTTTCTTTGCGAATATCACGGCAATGGGGGACAAGTGCTGGAGATATGTGGAGACAAAGCTTGATAGCTACGAATGCATTGGGTTTGTTGAAACACATGTGGCTGCCGCTCAAATTAAAAAAAATGGGACATTCGCGCTCGTAAACAAAAGTTGGGATTGCTAGCCAACAAAGCGAGACAGACTCACAAGCATGTTTCGGCTGCCAGAGCAGCTAAGTCGAATGCAAGGGGAGAGTGGATCTTATCAAAAGGTCATTTACAAATCAAGCCGTTGCTGGGACCAGAGTGTATGAAGTCAATTCAGGCCAAAGGTCAGGCGTGTTGGGACGGCTTCTGTCCTACACCCGTTCAGTTCCAGGGATTTGCAATGGCGCTAATCATGTTCTATGGTCATCCATCGATAGGGATTGCAGGAAAAAACATCGCGAGATATTATCATTTGGGTGCCCTGCTCACTTCGTTGAAAGTGCCGTGGGCGGTCGCGGGTGACTTCAACGTATCACCTCAGACATTGATGAAATCAGGTTTTCTTGATGCTGTGGGAGGAGCAGTTGTGCAGGCGCCCGTTGAGGTGACGTGCTCGTCAGGGAAAAACGGTTCGCATCTTGACTATATCGTCTGCTCGGTCTCCGCCCGGCCCCTCATTAAGAGCATAGCTCCTGTGGTCAGTGTGCCCTGGAAGCCTCATATCGGCCTCTCGGTTGAGATCCTGTCTGAGGGAACTAGTCTTGAGACCCGCGTGTTAAAGCTGCCAGGTAGGTTGCCCCAGGAGCCCCGTCCGACCAAAGAGGCCGCGGAGGGATCCAAATCGTCTCTTGCTAGGAATGCTCGCAAAATTAAACAATCGCTTGCTAGGGGGAAGCGTATAGAAGCTTATAAAGAGATGTTTCACGATGCTTTAGACCCGAGCCCTTCAGCTGAGCAACTAAGAAGTGCTCCTGCCGAGGGTGAGGAAGATGAACATTTTGAATTCGAGGTTGAAGATAATCTCGAGGAGTGGCCTGAGCGCGATTGGCTCGCACAGGACACGGCCCCCTCGGATCCCAGTTGTGTGCGCTTCGCTCCGCCGCCTCGTTTAAACAGCCAAGACGAGCCCCAAGGAGAGAGCCCCACGTTCTGGATCCCCGAGGCCACCTGGAGGGAGAGCAGGTCGCGGGTTGGCTATATCCATGCCAGCAGTTGCCCCCCCTCTCCCCACTTCCTGGACTCTCTCTGTAACCGTTTTGGCTCAAGCCATTTGAGTGCAGTTTCGAGCGCGCATGCGACATGGATCGCAACGCTGGAGGAAAGTATCTGCACACATCACTCATGTCAGTTACCGCCTGGCCCATCTCGGACGAGTTCGGCCAGTTTCCATATAGGGACAGTTCAGCAATCGCAGATGGGTGGCTCTCAACCCCTATATGATGAAGTAGCAAATTGGTGGACTCGGATGGCGACAATTCTTGAGAATTTGGGCCGACATCGAGAACGGCAAAATCGGAGGCAGCAGACAGAAATGTATTTGGCAACATGTAAAGAATTGGTTAACAGTGTACCTCAAAAAGCGTCGGAGGTTCTTACACGACTGGAGCCAACGTTCAGCAGCATCCAGCGAATCATAAGAACGATCGATGAGCAAAGTGACGGCACGTTGACAAAGATTGTAAAATTGGTTACCAAAGTGGCAAAAAGATCTCAAGGCAGAGCGTTGTTCAAATCACTGGAAAAGTTCAAAGAGTGGGTGGAATCGCCTCAAGCCTTGGGAGCCCTACATCGTTCAATAAAGGATGCACCACTGGTCAAGCAGGAGTTTCAGGATGACAAAGGGGAAATGCACACGTCGCCGAAAGCTATCTTGGATGCAAAGTTACCAAAGTGGGAAAAGTTGTGGAGTCCAAAGTTGGAAAGCCTGGAAGAGCTAGATGCAGCGTTTGCACATGCACGTCAGGAAGCCCAAGCGGACCCCCTTTTGCCATTGGAGCCAGATGAAAACAGAAGAGCAACAAAAAAATGAGGCCGAACATTGGGCAAGGGGTTGACAGGCTATCACCGACAGATGTGGAAAGGCAGCCTGACACAGCCCTGCAAAGTCTGAGTGAATTGTATGAGTTGATAGAGCACACATTGACATGGCCGTGTCAGACGCAAATGGTGATTGGACATATGCAGCCCAAACATCGAGGAGACGGCGACAGAGTCATTGGGCTCATGGCCATGACATGTCGCATCTGGTCTCAAACACGCGACCCGCTAGTGTCAGAGTGGTCAAGAGCCACATCACCAGAGTGGGACGCGGCGATAGAGGGAAATGCAGCCTCAATAGAGGCTTTCATGAGAGTGCTGGACGAAGAACTGGCAGGCCATTTAGAAGTGAATATTGGGAATGGACTCGCAGATATAAAAGGATTTTACGACACAATCGTATGGGACAAGTTGATCTATTGTGCACTTAAGCTCGGGTATCCTCCTCGAGTCTTGTACTTAAAATTGCTTCAATGTGCAGCCCCGCGTGTTCTGGGGCAGTCAGGGTCGGTTGCTGCACCCATCATGCCAACTCTTTCAATAATCCAAGGGCTGAGGTCAGGTACGAGGTTCGCGAGGGCCCTTGTGTATTTTGTGCTTCAAACAATCGCGTGTCAATCACGTGTGCACATCCAAACTTTTCCCATCGGATCTGGATTGATGACTTGAGTCAGAGTACCAAGGGGTCGAGACAAATGATACGCAAAGAACTAACAGATGTTTTAATAGCAACGTGCCAAGGCCTCCAAAAGCAGAAACTGACGATTGCATGCAAGAGTGCAGTGTTGTGTACAAAGCTTGAAGACGCCAGGTACATCGCAAAAAAGGTTAGGCAAGCAGGTTTCCCAATGGTGGCACAGTCGCAGGTGGCGTACTTAGGCGCAGACTTGGGGGGTGGAAAACGTTTGGCAAGGAATGTAAGAACACAAAGAATGGACAAAGCCAACTTAATGCATCAAAAAATAAAGAAGTTCGCGTATGCTGCAAGAAAATATAAAGTGATGCAAAGGGTGGAAAGACAGGGCGCGTATGCAGCAGGCTCATATGGTCACCAGCTGCACGGGACATTCGGCAAGAATCTTCAGGTTTTTAAGCAAAGATTGGGAGCTATCAGCGCGGCGCCCACATCGGGTCGCTGCTTAACCAGCTTGCTCGCTCTGAAATGCCCTGGTGCTGACCCTGGAGTACAGATGCCAACGGATTGTTTGCAGTTGTGGTTTCGTATGTGGGCCCGCGAGGGGAAGCACCTCCAACCGGCGATCATGCAGGTTTGGGGCGCTCAAGTCAAAAAGTTTTCGGATATGCCAGCAAATCTTCGCTCGAGGAACATAAGGGGGCCGATGGCAGCAGTTATTTCGCACCTGCTCGACGCGGGGTGGACCCCCACAAATGCCGAGTCATGGGGGCGGCCTCAGACAATCCATGGGGAAGTGGTCGAATGGAATTTTCCAAAAGAAGCGTTCACCAATTGGACGGGAGTGAGCACAACTGAATACCTTCTATGGGAATTCACGGAGGATCGCCAAAACAGGTATTGGAAAAAGGCTAGTGGACATTTTTGTGGTAGTGGTTTAGAAAAC